GGCCTTCTTGTCAGCCGCCGGTCCTTTGTAGAGCTGTATACTACGCCCCAAGCCCAAGGCTTCGATAAGGTTGGGCTTTGTGCTTGCTTCAAGCTTTTGACGGCACTGAGTCGGACCTTGGGTTCAGGATGCTTTTTCTGAGGGGGCGGGCGGCTGCAGGGGGGTTCAGCCGGGAGCACGAGACGTTGTAAGGTAGATACCTGGGATAAAAAGGTTTAGGATTTGGGGTTCTCGACCTCGGTGTAAAAACCTGGCATATAAAAAAAGGCAAAAATCAACCAAGTCCCCCGATCGCCCACATCTCAGTAAGGCCCGAAACTCCTAAACCCTGTTCCCTTCTGTACCCTAAAATACAGCCCTAGACCTCAAATTCTACGCCCTGAGACCCAGACCCAGAAAAATTAAAGCCCAAAACAGCCGGTCTTGTGGAGATCGACGGGCTCCCGAGTCCTCCACCAGCAACTGTTCCGACGCCGGGGCTGTGCCCGTGACATGCCGGAGGACCATCTGCGCCAAGCCTCTGGGTTTGTTTGGAGTAGAATAGGCCTGAGGATTTAGGGTTATTGCCGGGTGTACTCTGATACATAGTTGTGCGGTTTCAGGGCTTGTAGCTGTTGTATGGCTTCAACGTGTAGGTTTATACTATAGGGCGTGCCAAATGGTAAATGAGTTGGCATGAGATGAGATTGTTGAGGCGCGAGAGGTAGAGTTGTGAAGTGTGGTGTGTAATGAAGGGGTGCGTGAGTGAGTGAGCAGGGGGCGTGCGGGAGAAAGCCGGAACCCATGCCCTGAAACCCCAGAGCCCTTGCTTAACTTCTAAACCCAAACCCGGAAGCCCGAAAGCCCAACCTAAGACCCCAGACACTGCAGCCCTGATCCTAAACTCGAAAGTCAACGACATGCTATGACCCCAAGCCCTGAATAAACACCAGACCCGACGTGCCAAACCCTCAAGCCGCAAGGACCTTGCCTGTATCGAAGAACTGTGATAAGAGATGATAAGAGTGCTAATCACAATAACCCGACGCCCTAAAACACAGTCACCGAAAAAGTTTAAGACGTTCGCTTTGCGCAGCCGGGTGTCAAGCAAACTCCAACCACCTGTAGTTTGTTAGGGCCTAATGAAAAGGGTTTAGGGTTTAGGGTTTAGGGTTTAGGGCTTTGGGCTTCGGGTTAAACCTGACCCAAACCAAAACCTATGAACCCTAAATAAACCCCAAACCTAAACCGTAGACGCTAAACCTAAAACCCCGAACCTGAACCCTAGCGCCCCCGCCTACAAACCCCAAAAACAACCGCTATATTGTTTTAGGGTTAAGGTTTTGCTTGGTTAGAAACTTTATGAAGGATCTAGGTTTTTGGGTTCTTGTTTGAGGTTTAGGTTAGGGTCTAGGCCATAGGAAGTGGGAGTTTCGAACAATTAAGGTATCCGAATGCGACCCAGAATCATAAGGGCCTTCTTGTCAGCCGCCGGTCCTTTGTAGAGCTGTATACTACGCCCCAAGCCCAAGGCTTCGATAAGGTTGGGCTTTGTGCTTGCTTCAAGCTTTTGACGGCACTGAGTCGGACCTTGGGTTCAGGATGCTTTTTCTGAGGGGGCGGGCGGCTGCAGGGGGGTTCAGCCGGGAGCACGAGACGTTGTAAGGTAGATACCTGGGATAAAAAGGTTTAGGATTTGGGGTTCTCGACCTCGGTGTAAAAACCTGGCATATAAAAAAAGGCAAAAATCAACCAAGTCCCCCGATCGCCCACATCTCAGTAAGGCCCGAAACTCCTAAACCCTGTTCCCTTCTGTACCCTAAAATACAGCCCTAGACCTCAAATTCTACGCCCTGAGACCCAGACCCAGAAAAATTAAAGCCCAAAACAGCCGGTCTTGTGGAGATCGACGGGCTCCCGAGTCCTCCACCAGCAACTGTTCCGACGCCGGGGCTGTGCCCGTGACATGCCGGAGGACCATCTGCGCCAAGCCTCTGGGTTTGTTTGGAGTAGAATAGGCCTGAGGATTTAGGGTTATTGCCGGGTGTACTCTGATACATAGTTGTGCGGTTTCAGGGCTTGTAGCTGTTGTATGGCTTCAACGTGTAGGTTTATACTATAGGGCGTGCCAAATGGTAAATGAGTTGGCATGAGATGAGATTGTTGAGGCGCGAGAGGTAGAGTTGTGAAGTGTGGTGTGTAATGAAGGGGTGCGTGAGTGAGTGAGCAGGGGGCGTGCGGGAGAAAGCCGGAACCCATGCCCTGAAACCCCAGAGCCCTTGCTTAACTTCTAAACCCAAACCCGGAAGCCCGAAAGCCCAACCTAAGACCCCAGACACTGCAGCCCTGATCCTAAACTCGAAAGTCAACGACATGCTATGACCCCAAGCCCTGAATAAACACCAGACCCGACGTGCCAAACCCTCAAGCCGCAAGGACCTTGCCTGTATCGAAGAACTGTGATAAGAGATGATAAGAGTGCTAATCACAATAACCCGACGCCCTAAAACACAGTCACCGAAAAAGTTTAAGACGTTCGCTTTGCGCAGCCGGGTGTCAAGCAAACTCCAACCACCTGTAGTTTGTTAGGGCCTAATGAAAATCCTTGAGGCCCCGAAAGGATGGATCCCTCAACCCTACACGCCTTGAAACCAACCCTTATGACTATGATGAAAGAACCGTTCTAGAATTTGAACCCGACAAGGAATCCAGACAAAAAAACGCAGAGGAGCCCTAGCCCTAGCAACGAATTCTCAGAGCCAAAGAGCCATGTCCAGGTCAACGACTCCTTCGAGAGGACTGGGTTTTCTGAATAACTTAGGGCTCGGGGCTTTAGCTTTGACGTTCGGAGCCAGCTCTGAATCACCCCGTTGCCAGGAGGCAGGCATACTAGCCTGACTGACAAACAGCCCACAGAGGAGAGCATTCGGCAAGAAAAGCAAAGGGCTCAGGGCTCAGAGTTTCGGGTCAGGGTTGAGGTGTTTTCTTTTCACCCTCTTTTCCGTCTGCCCAGAGGTTAGTTGGAATGCCAAGTCTGGCGGAGGGGTGGTTTCGGAAAGCCTCCAGGGGGATTGATTCATCACCATAACCACATACCCCATTACAGGCAACCCAGGCTTCCCAAAAGCATTCCACAGCGCTCTCAACCCTTCTGAGTGCCAGTGCAATACAGCAACACGTAGGTTGATTCAGACATAATGATCGAAACATGGACCCAACTAGCACTCAGGATTGTGGCGTGGACGATTCTCAACGTTTGGGGCTTAGGGTCCAGGGTTAAGGTTTAAGTGCTTGAGGGCTCGGGGACACCTTTGCGGTTTCAGGCTTTGCAGGCCTCGATGGAACGTATCTAGCGGCCTCAATAATTACTGAGAGTAGGGATTTGGCATATTATGCGATGTTGACAAAGTAAGATTAGGGGGGTTCTGTACAAGTGGATAAACATGCTACACTGCTAAATAGTCTGACCGCTGTGCTCGCCCGAACTGCAGGAACTAAACTCGACATGTATTTGTCCACCAGAATCGTGGAGGGCTTTTCTCTACTATACTCGAAATCTCGCGAACCCAACACCCTGCGAACTTTCAATTCACATCCGTGAATTCTGCCGCAAACCAGCGCAGTATATCAAGTCTTTGAAGCATCCCAAAATATCAAACGTCTCACATTTAGGAGCGCGTGCTGAAAACACATGGACAACAACAGGCATGGACAATAACTGCAGGAACCTAAAACCCGCAGAGTCCAAACGAAACCGAGCGAACTCCGCTCCTCGCAGTTCTGCTTCAGCTCGGCGCTTTGCGCTTTCACGTCCGGCCACCATTTGCCTAAGAGCCCAGGCCCAGGTGTCTAGGGAGGAACGAGTGCCAGTGGCAAAGGAAGTCAGCAGCAGAAGGAGCATAGGCGGAAGCAGCAGCAGCAGTAGGAGCAGTAAGCGTCGCGATGGTTGTCGTCGTCCTCATCCTTCTCCTCCTCATCCTCGTCGTGGTCGCAGGTGGAAGCTGACGTAGCACCACCAGAAGCAGAATGATGGCAATACTAATTTGAGGAGGAAGCTTTGGATCTTGTTTTGTGCCTAAGCCTGAGTACAAGGAGTATCCGACCTTACGTCGATTTCTGCAATGTTCGCCTCGCTCCAGTGAGAACAGACAAGACCAGTATCGCGTCCGGGTTGGCCTGAAGGCTTTGAGAGATGAAGATTATCTGAGTTGAGGTTGGGGGAGGGACATGGACGGACAATGTTGATGGAACACAAACGAGAGATGGAATGGAAGAGGCGCCTAGTTCGTAACTGCAGCACCATTTCTGTCCCGAGGAGGCTCAGAGGCCAGCTCTGGGTAACGGGCTTTAGGGTTTAGGGTTGGGCACAGACAACGAGAACGTGATCTGCTGCGTAGAGGTTTCTGGTTTTTTGTTTGGAGCTTCTGGGTTCGGGGTCGGGGATTTAAGGGTTTAGCGCTGCGGCGGTAACAAGTTCGCAAAAGTAGCATGCCGAGAGAGACGAATTGGAGCTCCGGACGCCTGTAGTCAGCGTTCGGGTCTCGCAGTCTCGCATTCCGACCTGCCCCAACTCGAAGCAGTATCCTTAACCCCAAACACTTATGTGTCTTCCGACCCATGTGTCCTTCGTGCAGCTGGCTCGGCTCTCTGCCACCGCTTTTACGAGACAGCTTTCACCATGTACTTGCCTGGGAATAGAACACTTAAGGACTGCATGCCCGCGAGTTCCTCTCCATACCCGGTGGACGAAAAGGTGATTCGGTCAGGCTTTCTTGCTGTCTGATGTAGGAGGCTCCTCAGGTGAAGACTATTGCCCGTTCGCGAGGGTGGCACCAGCGCACTACGTGCCAGGAGCCGCTGATGCATACAAAAAGCCGCCGCTTCGGCAAAGCAGGTTAGGCGCAACAACACACTGTCGGCAAAGGACTGCACGCACGACCAAACTCCAAGCCCTACACTCTAAACCTCTTCAACCTTGCAGATGAGCACTGCGTGTATGCTTTTGTTTTTCCTCAGGCAAGTTAATCACCAGAATCTAACTGTTGGTCGCCAGCACTTTGCCGGTGTCGGAACTCCTGCTGCATCGAGGGGCGCACTCTGGGTTACGAGGCTACGCAACAACAGCCTACGTCGAGACGACTTGCTGGATTTGTTAGAAGGTTACAGATGTTGATTAGCCCTTGTCCTTGCCCTTCTCGAAGAAGCCCTCGTCCGACCATAGAGGCCAGCAGTTCCTCGATTCCTCATGCCTGCATGCCGGATGTATCATGGAAGTGCATATGCAGCTAACGGGAAGCCACAGAAAATCAACACCGAACAAGCTGCTTGGAAACACGAACCAACCCAAGAATCGCGTACTGGGGAGTCTCCATCAACTAATAATGTTTCGCTGCAGCCAAGAACGAGCAAGATAGTCACAAGGACTATTCTAAGTAAGCATCAAGAAAGCCAAGCAGCACTTCGAATCCAGCCAAATCGGGGCACAGGCGATGCTTCAGCACCTGAGCTCAGCTCGTGCAGTACACAAGCATGATCTAACTCAACCGACGATCAAAAGTACTTGGACTGGTGCCCTCGAACCAGGATTGTCGCAGACGCACGTGCTGGGTCAATCAATCGGTCCATGTGCTAGCAGTCCGGCGATAAACAGGGATTGTGAGCAACGGTGCACTTCTTGCCGAGCAACATAAATCGGATTGGTATTCCACCAGGATACGCCAGATTTCTCCATGATCGCCATATACCCAGGATCGTTCCCCGACACATTCTCGTCGTCTAGTGTCTTTCCCATTTTCCGAAAATGATACCTTGGTCCGTTGCAATTGATACACAAGCTTTCTTCAACATCCAGAAACCATGACCTTGTCACTGGCTGCTTGCTCTTCGCTCTCTCCAGAAATCAGTCACACAGTCTAGGTGGCCGCCTCTACGCTGGTTATTTTGGTAGCCGGCCCGTGGACTTTTGATTTGGCTACATACCAGATGACCATAGCTGACCTGAGTTCTGAAGCTGGTCAATGTTTAGCTCTCGCTTGCTTGACATCTGAGCTGCTCGATCGAAAGGATGCCGGCAACATAGATAAAATAAGTCAGCATGAAGATGAGAACGAAGATCAACACGGCGAAAGGTCGCTCGGTGATTTGATCCAACCTGAGCTCACGCTTCAAATCATCCGCTTGACATGGAAGCCTCACAGACACTGAACACGACGCAAACACTGGCAGCTAGCCAACCCCGAGGATGCACACAGCTTTCAGCTTTTTGGGGGGACCTGGCCATACCGGGCCACTGGGCCAAGGAGCCTATATGCCCAAAAGGCAAAGGAAGAAGCAGCCATCGATAGCACCAGGCCCCACACCTCAAGCTGCTCTGTTTCAAGGAGCTATGGCCCTTGAGTGTTGTTGCCCTTTTTTTTTTGAGGGCTGTTGCCCTTTAACCTTCAAGGCATTTCAACTCCTCCCAGGCCGAGGTCTCGAAGTTCCAACACAACTGAACTTGTCAACCAAGCTGCTGAGGAGATGTCGTGCAGCATAATTGCCAGACAAATTCACTGACCCTGAACATAAAGGTGTACTTTAGAGGGCAAGCCGGTTTGGCTGCTCTTCTCACTTCTCTTTGCCAGCTATGCCCGCAAGTTCCAAAAGATGGCAAAGCAGAACTAACACACAACAGACACAGAGCTGATGGCTTCCCATGTCCGACAGCAGACGACAATGAAGGAGAAGTATGTGCCGTCGGAGTCAAACTCGGATTTCCCGTACCTCGCCAGCTCTCTACGCCCTCTACAAACCTGCAATGCAATGAGCTCATGAAGCACACGACAGATCTCACCTTTGAGTGTCGGCATGCCAGTGTCCGTGGGTCTTGCAAGCGGCTTTTCACTTGACGGATGTGTTAAGTACCGTTCGATCTTCACAACAGGCCAGGCGCAGCCAAAGCATCACGTAGCGCTGCCACAGGAAGAAAAGAATGCTGAATGCCAACCTCAGACGTGGAAAATTCTCGGATTCGGATTCTGGATAAGTGGACCATGGGACCATGTTCGACCGCGGTTGCGGTTCGCCTCCTGGGCTGGAGAGTTGCATCTTCGAAGGACGAAGAGCTCCACGGGGCCAAGAGGAACTCTGCACGTTGAAATCAATGTAGATTACTTAACCACTAATCCACTAAGCAAGAGCGAAAGCTCTCTGCTAATGGCCTCGCAATGCGCAGTCGCTCCGGGTGACACTGCTGGCACAGTAGGACTGCCCATGATCCACAAGCCCACGGCTCGTTCTGTTCGCCTGGTCGCGTGTTGTTGCCACTGCTGGCACTACTCTGTGGTTCACCGGATCGTCCTGCACCGCTTGCTTGCTTTGCAGCCGTAATTCAGCAACAGGCTTTGATCCTGCCGCAGTCTGCTTCGCAAGATCGCCTTCAAATGCATGGACAAATCCTCTGAAAGCGGCTCAGGTGCGCTTGCATTCGATTTGCTGGGCATGCTCTCTGAACTCTAAACCTCGCACTGCTCCCAATTGCACTTTCGTGTGGCTCTCGCCCCTGCAATCTTCAAGCACAGCCGGCTGCTTCAAGGTGTACAATACGGGTGACTCGCAACCCAGTTCTCTCTGAAAAGAAGTCACGGGTTGCAACAACAGCAGTTTGTTCAACACGTTTCTTTGTGGTCCCTTCGAAATACGGTGCCTCAAAAGCCCACGCACTGTCAGAAGCTGTCTTCGCGACACCCCAAGTTCAGCACGAAGAAAAGTCCAACTCTGCATCTTCAGATCCAAGGCACTGGGCAAGCCAAATTCGCATGCTGTAATCGATGAAATAGCAAGCCGTGAGAGCAATTCCTTGAGCAGGCCCATGCTTTTGCTAATGGATTGAGCTAGCTTGGCCTGAAGCAAAGCGCTTCAGTGCCTATCAAGACATATCAAGGCTGGAACCGTGCTTTCCCGGCAAACCAAAACAGTGATGCCTCAAGAACAGACTGCAAGCCCTAAAAGCCTAGAACGGTTCTTCCAAAGCACCTGGAAAGATGACAACGTAGGTGTACTCCATCCACAACAGCAGCGGCACCAAACTTTGGGCCTTCTCTGCTTCTCCTCAAGAACGATGCGCTGTACTGCCAGTTTCGTGGACTTCGAGTAATCCATCGAAGGAAAAGAAACCCCGTAGCGGTTTGCTAATATCTGCCAACATAGCATTATCAGTGAGACTCTTGATATATGGATGTTCTTCGAAGGCCGTCACGACCTACTTCAGTTGGTTACTGCCACTACTACAACTACTGCTGCTGCTACTACTACTACTACTACTACTTCTACTTGTACTACTGCTAGTACTAGTCTAGTACTAGTACTAGTACTAGTACGAGTACTAGTACGAGTACTAGTACTAGTCATGCTGCTGCTACTACTACTACTACTACTCCTACTAGTACTAGTACTACTATTTTTTGGTATTTGTTCTCCTACATTCACCACGGTGTCACAGCTGCACGAAGCTTGAGATAAAAGTAATTGCACAACCAAAAGTGCAGATTACCCGACCAAAGGGGCTGATTCCTCAACCAAGAGGCCCAGTTGGGCAACCAAGACAGCCGATGAGCCAACCATGATAGGAGCTAGATTCTACCAAGCAGGGGCCCAGGGGCGATTGCTTAGGCTTAATCAAAACCTTGCATCATCCAACCACCCACCCCGACCAAACTCTGAGGCCAAGAGACCCCGCCACAGCCTCACCGTCACCTGCACCGGACCTCCAAACCCAACCTGACCCCACACCGCCAACCTAACCCGGACCTAGGCTCGAACCTGACCCAACTTAGCTTAACTAACGTAGCCCGATCTAACCTAGACCGACCCAGCCCAACCCCAAAAAGTACCATACCTTGCTTGACTTCATCCGGATCGTAACCAAACCAAACCAACCCCAACAACACCCCGTTCCGCCCGACCCGCTTCTTGCGGGCCCACCCGTTTACAAAATCCTGAACCAATCTTTAACAGCGGCTTCAAGTCCAGGGCACAACATCGAATGTATCTAGTTACTGCAGAGCTCCCACCCCAACTGACCACAGGCTAGCATGGAGGAAGCCGTAGGCACCATCATGTACTGATATGTGGAGGCTCGGGACATCTAATGTCTACGTGCAAGGGAACTGTCTAGACACAAGTCCAAACGGCAGACAAGTGGCCCGAGAACAGGGCCGAAAAGACCCCGTGTCTGCTTCGGAACCGTCCGAACCACATGTTAGAGCAAAGAGGCACGATCTCGATTGCGGAAACGAATAAAAGGCTGTGCGTGACAGGATCTTGAATACACCAGAAGCATGCTCTAATCTAAGCTTTTCCAGCTATTCGAAGTGCTGGACAACACAGTGAGCAAAGAAGGAGTAAGTTGGAGATGCACCCTGGGCTCGCATCCAACGAACTCAGGACGGGAGGAACTGAACCCACCCTAACCCACCCCAGCCCCTGACATAACTGACATAACCTGACCCAGCCCAGCCCAACCCGCCGTGACCCAAGCCAACCTTACTTTACTTCAGTTTGCGAACTTTTTCTGTATCAGCTGGGGTTAGGTTAGTCTGACAGGGTCAGGGTGGGGTTGGGTTGAGGCTATGTCAAGTTAGGCTCGGGGTTGCGGTGGGGTACGGTACTGTACGCTTGTCTCAGGTTCCGTTGGGTTAGGTTAGGTCGGGGTTAGGTTGGGACGAATTGGGTCAGGCTCGTTGCATTAGGTTCGATCAGGTCAGGGTCGGGGCTGCGTACGGCAGGTTTGGGTTAGGCTAGGTCTAGGTTGGGTCGAGTCGGGGTTAGGTTGGGACGGATTGCGTCAAGTTGGGTCAGGCTTGGTGGCTCGCATTTTCTCAGCTTGGGGTTAGGTTTGGTTCCAGGTTGAATCAATCAGTTTTGCTTACGATCGGGATTAAGGTAGCTGGGTTGTGTTAGACCGGGTCAAACACATCCTGGGCGCAGGTCAGGTCAAGGTTAACCGTTAGCTTAGATCGGAGGATCTTGGTTAGGACTTGCTTGACTGAGCAATCTGTTATGAGTAATCTGTCTCTAGATCCGAAGCTTGAATACAAACGTCTTGTCGAGATGCTGGCTGTCAGCATCATGGTTGACCGTGTCTTCGGCAGCATCTTGCGCAGTACTTGCTGGATTCTTGCCTGCATCTTGCAAGGAAGCTGAAACAGCAAGCGTGCAACAGAAACTAGCTGCAAACTGTCTCCTGGTTGAACAAACCCAGATTTGCAACGGCACCAGACAAGAATGTGATAGTCACCCACCGACTGCATTGTGCTCGTGCACGCCTTCGGAGAGCCACCGATGTTTTGGATGAACACCGCCCGAAGGGCGAGCCAGAAAAAGGCAACTGGCCTCTGCAGCATGTTCTGGAGCGCTTGGGAGTCAAGGCATGATGCCACTTTTCGTCGGCACCGAATTCTTCGACGAGCTAGCAGCGCTACGGCCAATCGACCCGAAGGCTTCAGCACCTGGTTTCTGCGAACAGGAGCGAACTGGCAAAGCGCCATCAAGCCTTGCTGTGGAAGAACAACCGCTTTTGCATTTCCCTACGTGCGGCTTCGCACTCGCAATTCGTCAAAGGGGCAGTTCCCTTGGCTGGGATAGTTGGTACCCTGCGATCGGTGCTGATACGTGTTGCAGTGTTCATACAGGATGGAGGGGTGCAATGAGATCAGAGCCTGCGATAAGCTCCCCCGTGCTGCTGCGCATGAAAACTATGGGCCGAGCCCAATGACATTGCCAACCTCGCCGAGCACATAGAGCCTCGTTGAAGGGCGAGGGTTCTGCGATGCTCTGACTTTGTCTACGACCAAGGCATAGAAGGCCAAAACCTAGATCGTGTCTTCAAGCTCTTTGGCTAAACAACCTCGTCAGAGTTCACAGCCTGACGCAGCCCTTTGTTGCTGTCCAACCACTCTTAATCCAGCAAGGGCGGCATTATGGTCTGCTCAGTAAAGACGGACCTCGCATGTTCCGAGGCGGAAAGGGTGACTTGCTGCTGCGACGGGACTGCTTGCAGGCATGACTTCGAATCTCAAAAAACGATGAGCTCAACAACTTCGGAAATGATGCATCTTCTAGTTCCGGGCTGCTGTGAGACAACAACGTTTGCCGAACACTGTGCAGCGATTGCACACCGGAAGCGGCAATACTTCACCGAAACTTTCGCAACTCCACTTTCAGACAGACGTTGAAAGCATATCTGTCTACAACCAATGTGAACAAAATACCAGTCCAGCTTCACGGGATCGGTTGCTCAGTTTTCATTCTGCGGCTGAAAGGCAGAAGCGAGTCGTAAGCTTGGATCTCTGCCAGGACAGATCGGAACAGGCCTCGCCGCCACAGCCACCATGCTTCGGAGTATGCCTGGAGAGAGGTGCATCTACCGGCACGAGTGCAGTTAGGAATCGGTTGCAGGCTACATAGCAAAAGTATGATGCCGGGACTGTTGGGCGCAGTCCCAGACCTGCTGTCGAACCTCACTTCTTGCGCGGTGCTATCTTTTCGGTTTATGTACTACCTCCAATGCATTCGGTCTTACGGATGTCAACATTCTGACGAAGACAGGAGGTGTGGGAAACAAAGTAAGGACGCGTCAGCATGGTGAGAGGCGTCTTCTGCTTCCCCTACAGCCTAGATTCTGAAGCAGCCTTGTCAAATGGAGAGCTTTGTTCACGGGTGGATTGATGAAGCACATTGTCTGAAGCCTTTGAGCATGTCTCTGATCGGATGTGCACTGCTTCAAAGCTGCAGTGCATGGCTCCACTTGTGCCACCACACTGGGGTCTTCGTATTCGGATGCCCCCAGATCAAGAAAGGGAGGCTTCGGGCCAGATCTGAAGCCTGACACTCCAGCCACAAACCCGCCAATCCATGCCTCGCTGGGAGGCAAGAACGTCGGGCTCATGCCGGCTTTGTCACACTCCTCACATTGCCGTTCTGCTTTTGAGAAATTGGTCAAGTACTTCGTGGGATGTCTTTGTTTTGCTTCTCACTTGCCGTGGTTATCTCTTGCCGTCACGCCTGAGAGACATTCCGATTAACTGAGAGTCGCACTTGGATCAAGACGTAGAGCAGTGTTATGGCCTCGGCAGGTATAGGCTGGCAAAGCTGCCATCAATCATGAATTTCTTTGCAACCCGACAAGCGCTCCTTGCATAACTCACCAGCTTGAATTGGTGTGCTCCGACATCTGGGGGTGCGGCCATCAGCAGGGTGTTCCAAAGGAAAGTGATCTCATCGACCTCAGGCATGCAACCCCGGTTGGCAAATTCCTGCAGGCCGAAGCTCGCCTTCGATATGCGGATAATCTTGGCTTCGTCCACGTCGAAGGCGACGGCGGTTTGAATAGCGAAGTTCACGAGCAAGACTCCTAAGCTCAGCTACATGCCGCCAGGCTTCTATGAGTGACAACAATCCGGACCCGCTCTTGGACACAAGCTGGATTCGCCGAGTGGCCCTTGCCCGCAAGCTGCACACCCTTAGCCCCGCTGGCACCTTCCAGTGAGGAGTCGTGCCACGGCTTCTGCCTCGCACTGCTCGCATCTTCCCGTTGACACACTTGCAGAAGCTTACAGAGGAACAGCACTAAGCCAAGCTTAACACCTTCCTTCTGGCAAAACCTGGTCTTTGCATGATGTGACTGGATCTACTCGACCAGCAATGAACGGAGGTGGCTCTTAGTACCTAACATGGCCAAGCCACTTCGACATGCAGGATACTTTCTGCAAGGTCACGAAATGTGAGCAACTTTGAGGCTAACATGCGGTGTCTCAAGCACTCACGAAAGTTTTGTCGGGCATGGCGTTCAAGAGTTTCACACGGGCATTGGCACTGCTGAGGCTCGCAAAGCTGCCCGTGGTGGAGGCGCAGCAGTGCTTTGTTTCGCAGTTACATATGCTGATTACATGCTTGGTTTACAATCTCTCACACGACGATTCGACGTGAATGTGCACAAACCTGGTTTGACAATTATCAAACAGGCCCTGCTGACTAGCTCGAGATCCCACCGAAGTCTGCTCGAAGGCCTCGTCACGTCCTTTGCACATCCAAATCTCAAAGCGAAAATGGTGCAGTCAATAGCAGACTGGGCCGCATGAAATAGAAGAACAGCTGGGCCACGATGATGTAAACAAGGATGTACGCAAACCTTGGGTAGTACGAACGAAACACAGCTCAACCAGCTTCCTTAGCTTCGTCATACCTGACCAGTCTGTCAGGCTTGCGTGGCGTCGGCGGGAGCATTGTCGAGAAGCGAAGAACTAAACAAGCGCGACACTCCATCAGGCCTTCCGCCTACACATCTGGGCGAAGGAGTGTGCAAATGCGGAACCTGGTAACAAGCCCATCATGGTTTGAAGGCAGAAGGGCAGGATATTCCGCACTCTGCTGACTCTACTGTTGGCCTGATGTTGGGACGAGAATCAGTTCTCCTGAATGAAGGTTCGTGCACTTCTCGGCTCGTGTGGTCTGACCCCAGGGTATTGGAGTAAGCCAACAAAGCATGTGTAGAGAGAGGGAACAGAACCCCTCACATCGCCCGACTCGTAGGGTGAAGCGATGCGAACCCACATGGTATTCATGCAGTGGGCAACCACAGGACAAGCTAGTAACAGCTTAATTGCTGTGGCACGTCGTATTTCGCGGGCATGCACGCGCTTTATTTACTCTGTCGAGCCGCTGGCGTGCTGGCAGGACTGACAGAGTGACCCGTCGCTCTGCCGGAGTTTCCTGTGCAAGCATCGCTTCGCTGCGGATTCTCTCCTTGAGGCATTAAGGCTGGCTCCAAGCCAACAACTCAGCAGAGCTGTTCGAAACAGCAGTTTGCCTTCACACTAGAAACACCACAGACCTCGGCTTTCCAGAAGCGGAGACCATCTGGCTGGTCCCCGCGCCAGCGAATGCCAGCCATTCTGATCTCCTCCCGGGCTTAAGGAGGCCCTAATTCCGGTAACTCTTTGTTCACATCCGTGGGATCGAACAAGAGGGACATGAGGAACGAAAACACAGACAAGAATGCATGCACAAATCTCGCTCATGGCTTGTTGAATCAACTACTACGCGTTAAAACGCGCAGTCTCTTAGGGTTCTGTCTTGTCAGTTTCGAATTATTCGGATTCGCTGTTGGAAAAGCTAGGACTGAAAGTAAACAGTGAATGGTAATGTGACAAGATTATTAGTTACAAACGAACCCTGAATTCATTCCTTTTCTTGGAAACAGCACACCAAATAAGAGAAAGTAGTGCACAAGGGCTGCAACTTCTTAAAAATTTCGTTCTCTCTTTGCTTTGCTTTGCTCTCGGGGTTCTCTCTCGCTCTCTCTCTCTCTCTCTCTCTCCGTGCTTGGGCTTGGTCGTGAGCTGGGGCTTGCCAGGTGGCTAGCGGAGGGCTGGCACATACTTATTGACTGTTTGACGGCATGCATCCTCACGTTTACGAGCGCACGACACTGCTCGTCCTTGGCATCCGCATCTGTTTCAGCAGACGGCGCAAGCACGTTCTTGCGAATGCCTGGGTTTGCTCTGGTGTCTATACGGTGGTGTTGTTGTTCTTGGAACCTTGAAAGCATTAGTTACGAGTGGTATCGGCTGCAAGTCTGCGAGTGGCCGTATGATGACCTGATACGATCTGATATGCTTTACACCCTTCTGGCTGAGGCCCTTCAACCCATGCTCAAGTCACCAGCTCAGATGCCACGTCTCTCGCGGAGGATCCGAATCATGGACACCTGTTGGCGGCGGCAGTGGTTGGTGGCAGCTGCTGTGCTGCTGATGGCGATGATGACTGCTGATGATGACGAGTAGGACGGGGATGGCAAGGACGACGATGATGCTCTAAGGGGGCGGTGGGTGATCGTCGATTTCGGATGTGTAACGAGCCATGCGTAACACAACACATTTGCCTAGGGCGTGGAAGAAGTTCGAACTTGAATTTCCAGGCGACAGGAGGGGAGGTTTCACATAAAGGATTCCCGAATTCCGGACTACTAGCACGTCACCGGTGGTGGTGGTGGTGGTGGTGGTGGTGGCGGTGGTGGTGCGAGTGCTGGTGGCCAATTTTTTCCGTGGATTTTTGAAAAAGTCATAGGCGAAAACCTCCGCAGGGAAGGCACATCAGCGACGTCTTTTCGCGCGAGCGTCCAGTTCGTCCGTTCGTGAGAGCATCCCGTTCCTACAGTCCTACAGAGCATCAGCATACGGTTCACCATAATAACGCCCCTTCGCGACAGCATCCGGTTCCCAAACCCTCCGCGGCCAAAGCATGACAAAGCTCAAGGCTCACAGCTGTCACTCCCTCCCGCCGTCCTCTCACACTCACCGCAGTAACGCAGCTTTCTCTTTCGAGAGGTGCGCACGCAGGTCTGTCGCTTCTGACCCTTCGCGTGGCCTCACGCCCAACCCACGGCCAGTGATAGCATAGCCGATGAGGCATCAGGCTTGAACCTGCTACGTAGACGCATTCGACGCCGCGTAAAGACAAAATGCAAGTTGCAATTTGGTTCTGGTGCTGGTGCTGGTGCTGCTGGTGGTGGTAGCAGTGGTGGTGTTGTTGTTGCTGCTGCTGGTGCTGTTGCTGTAGCTGTAAGCCTCTCGGCTCAGGAAAGGTCAGGCTAGTACAGTGCCTTTTTCCTTTCTCGCCATGGCATTTGTCAGCGCCTGAGCAGTCCCGGTCCCAAGTCCGGGAGGGAGTATTTAGACTTACAGCTCTCTAACATCTCCCAGAGGTGAGGGTTGTCGGTATTGCGAAGCCGACAGGAGCCGTACTCAACATGAGTGCTGCGAAACAGCCTAGTGGTTCGACCAAGCATCAGCCCGTTCCTAAAGGGAAGGGTAAACGCTCTTATCAAAGGGCAGCACGTAAAGCTCTGCTTGAAGGTAGTGCGGTCTACAAGGGAAAGACGATGTCGTCAACAGAGCTTGGAGTTGCTCCGGCACATGTAAAGCCCACCAATCCCGGCAGAAGGACTCGGCCTTCGAAATTTACAGAAGATAAGAATCTCAGCTATCTATCCTGGAACGCAGGATCTCTCACAACAGCAGTTTGGGAAGAGTTACTCTCCGTACTGCAAAGTGCCGCATTTCAGGATGTGAAGTTGGTAGCAATACAGGAAACACACTGGAGGGGCTCTTGGCAATTCAGCAAGTCAGGCTGGCACGTGATCAGCTCTGGTTCCACAGGGGAGAAGGGAGCCGGGGTCCTCATAATGGTGCACTCCACCCTGTGCAAGTCACAGGATCTTCGCTACAACGAGGTCGTTCCAGGAAGAGTTCTCCAGGTCCGGGTGCCGAGCAACGGCATCTCACTGGATGTCTTCAGCTGCTATCAATACGTTTGGCGCTCTAAGGAGACAGTTGTTCAGAATAAGGAAACCCGGAAGCAGACCCTTCACGCCCTAAGTAAGTCCATCCGAGCTGTTCCCAATCGCAACACTCTCCTTGTGCTAGGAGATTTTAACTCCTCGCTCAAAACCGACAACAAACACGTAGGGCCATGCACGATCCAGGCTTGCAGACTCGGGCATCGCGGATCTAAGGATCTCCAGACCCTACTGTCGGAGCACCAGCTAGTCGCAACCAACACTTGGGGAGTGCATAGACCAGCCACCCACGAACAAGGCAATTCTGTTTCACAGATTGACTTCTCGTTTTTCAGGATTGCACAGTCCCAAGGCCCCGCCAGGTTTTGCCGGCCACTAAGGACCTTCTCAGTTGCATCCTGGAGGGATGGTAGTAGGCATTTCCCTCTTCTTGGTAAACTGAGGCACAGCAGGAGATACTCCGCCCAAGCCTCAAAACCCTATGACCAGCAGGCAATGGAGGACTGCTACAGACACCGTTCCCCGAAAATACAGGCATTTGCCAGGGAGGTAGACTCCCTCCTTCAGGATCATCCCCAAACCTGGCAGAGTCTCCATCAAGCAATGAACTCAGCCCTCGCGACTCACTTTCCCAAGAGAAAGGAAGCAGCACAAAGATCAGATCTCAGCATCTGGGAAGAGCGCTCTGCGTTGCGCTCACTCCCACTAGCAGTCAGGGTCTTAGCAGAGTTCTTGCCCGAGCTGCAGGTCCGTATGGTGTTCCGATGCTGGTGCACGTTTTCCCAGCAAATTGCACAGGCGAGGGTAGCAAAGCGTCACAGGCAGGAGCGGCGGCGGCAGGAAATAGATGAACAACTCCAGCAGGCAGAGCTTAAGTCCAAGCAGGACGGGAGTCACTCCCTTTACAAGGTAATCAAGCGCTTCAGGTCGGGGAGGCCCCAGGAAAGAGTTCAGCTTCGTGATTCTGAGGGTCGCTTCCTTACTGCCAAGGAAGAAAGAAGACAATTAAAGGAATATTCCCTAGACCTGTTTGGAGCAGGGGATGACTTCCCGCTTTCAGGGATACAAGGCAGCCTACACATCACTGAGCAAGAAGTGCAAGAACAGCTTGGCACAATAAAGCTGGGCAAGGCGGTTCCTAAAGAGAGTCCTCCCGTAGTAGCCTGGCGCTCCCTAGGTCCCCAAGCAATCCGGCTAATCTCGGACACCCTTAATAGGGAAGTCACTGCAGGAAGGCTCTCGGACAGTGTCACCTCGTCACAGATCTCCTGGCTCCCAAAGTTTTCCAAGAAGCCAGACAAACCAACCTCACTCCGTCCGATCGGGGTGATAGCACCTGAGGGTAAGGTCCTAGCCGGACTCGTGAGAGCAATGACCGGCGTCTCTCAGTTCGGCTTTGTCCCAGGCAGGGGCACAGAGGAGGCTATCTGCAAGGCTTGATACATGTGGACCAGGCCAGGTTCAGACAGGCCCTCACCACTAGGGCTGCAGGTAAAGGACAACAGGGGCTCAAGCTCAGAGGCAGTCTCACCATGAGCGTGGACATGAGCAAAGCCTTTGACACTGTCAACAGGCTGCGACTAAGAGAGGCCCTGGAAGCCGAACAAGCAGATCCTCTTCTGATAGAGGTGGTAGGCCATCTCCACATCAAAGACTTGTACAAGATGACAGCCAGCGATCAGAGCTTTGAGATAGCCACACGCAGGGGAATCAAGCAGGGATGTAAGCTAGCACCCTCTTTATTCGCCTTTGCATCAGGGCTTCTCTTTAGGAAGCTCTCTGGGAAAATCAGCCCAGCAGAACTAGTGAAGCTCCTCACAATGTACGCTGACGATAGCTTGATCCAGTCGCATTTCGACTCTGCGGCCGGCCTCATGACAGCACTAGGGTACTGCGACATGCTTCTGGATCAGCTGGTAGAGCTTGGGTTCAAGGTCAATCCGTCCAAGTCAGCAATTCTGCTACAGCTGCAAGGGGGCTCAGCCTCGACCATTAGGAAGAAACTCTTTCGCCAGGTCGAGGGAGAGAAGTATGTTGAACTCCCTTCGGGCAGGCTGATATCGCTGCGCTATCAGGTTCCATACTTGGGGGTCATTCTTTCTTATCACGACTATGAAATGAAGACTCTCAAACATCGGCTGTCATCCAGTAAGCTTGCAATGTCAGAAGTAGCCCATGCAGTTCGGAACCACCGAGTCTTATCAGACAGACGTCGTCTGTCGATTTGGACAATAACTGCGTGGGCCTCTGCTCTGTATGCACTTCACGTGGTGGGGATGACACAGCAGGGATTGCAAAAGCTCCATTCACACATGATGTACCAACTCAGATTCGTCCTGCGGAGTTACTCCCAGGAAACGAAGGAATCAAACCAGGAGTTACTCCGGAGATTACGGATTCCTCACGTGAAGGAGCAGCTGCAAAAGAGAATGACCCAGTTTATAAAGAGACAGCAACACTCCGATCCCCAGCTTCTCCCACACTATAAGTTGCGTGCTGAGGCAGTTAGCCAGGCATTGGAAGGCCTCTCCACGGACTTCTCCTCGCACCATGTGGAGGATAGGCTTCTGACCTGCGGTGAATGTGGAGCATGTCTCTCTGGCACCGGAGCACTCCGTCGCCACCTGCAGAAGGCTCACCCAGATTCTCAGCAGTGCCTGAAAGGACCCAAATTTGATCCTATTTTGCATTCAATGCCAGGGTCAGCAACTTGCATCGCCTGTCGAGCAACATTCCGAACAGTGTTTTATCTGCGCAAACATGTCGAAGCATCTACCTGCCCTAGGGTAGAGCTTTTGCTTAGACAGCAGGAAGAGCTACCCTTAGAAGCACAGAACCGGATCTCACTCGTAGAAAGTCTACAGTCTGATGCCCAGGACAATCCAGAAGGCGCCGCTCGAAATCCGGCGTTCCATGATTACCTGATGGAACACTGCGCACTCTGTGGTCAGGTCCTCGTAGGCCAGAAAGGAGCCAAACAGCATTTAAACAAGCAGCATCCTGAGGTGATGGCCAAGCTGGAGAAAACTCTCCAACCAAGACTCAATCAATTCAAGGTCTTCTTCCACAAAGGAGATAGCTGTCGATACTGCAAACTTCGTGTGGATGCCCTTGGTAGACATGCTCAGCAGTGCGTTCCATTACTGCAGGTGCACGTACTGCAGGAGGTAGCGCGCCAGCAGCTCAGCAAGCAGCCCCGCGAATATACTCGAGCAAAGTCCACGGCATCGGCGAAGACAGTCACACAGAAGCCTTCAGATTCAACGCCAGGAATTCCTCACCCCGTGTTTAGACTGGAAGGCTTTCTCCTGCTAGCCAATACTCGCAACCACTGCTATGCCAACTCAGGTCTGCAGTGTCTCCACTGGCTATCAGATCCTTCAGAGGCGACTTTTCAAGAGGCATCCCGGATCAGTCAGCTTGCGAGAATAACCCCTGAACACAGAGTCTTCTCGGAGCTCACCATGGGCTGGCTCTTTGACGGAGGCCAGCACGACTCTGCTGAGTTCCTGCAGCAAGTGTTTCGGAATCTCTCTGCATCAAGATTTGGACAGTGGGAAACTAGAGCCTCAGTACCGGAAGGCGTGATAGTGGACGAAGAAGGGGGCTCTCCCATTCATCTTGCCACGGCGATCAAGACCAACTTACAGGACATGCTAGTGGCATGGTCGTCTCAGGAGCGCTCATGTGCTCTCATAGAAGCTGCACAGCAGGTGTGCTTAGCCTTGCCGAGATTCGCAGGTGAAGCTAAGGATCACACTCGCATCACAATCCCACAGCAAGTCCAGATCCCTGTCTTCCTGGACCACACATCCCGAGTTTCGTTCTGTACCTACACAGTAGAGGCAGTGATCATTCACCTAGGAATGGAGTCCACTAGTGGCCATTACCGTGCAGCTGTACGTACAGCAGATGCCTGGTATGTTGGTGATGACTCCCACCCCCCTAGTCCCTGTACCCTCGAAGATCCCCTGCTTCAAGAAAATAGCTACGTCATCTTCCTAGCTCGCAGCGCCGTCTCTCACGAGCCCCAGGACGTAGCCAATCTCCCGAGTAATGTCTCTGCAAGAGCTCTTCCAGCGAGCCTTGCGGAGATGCTCCCTTAGGAGGAGACTCTCCCCAACAATCGGAGGAGTTTCTCCCCTTGCCATGTGTGTACAGCTGGTGGAGTTTCTCCCCAGGGGTTTTTAAACAGTAGGAGAACATCAGGTGGAGCTTCTCACCTCGGGTGGAGTCACTCCCCCTCCTCCTCCTTCCAAAAAGAGAAGCACTGGGCAAAGCGAGGGTGGAGATACTCCCCCTGCAGCAAAGGCCAAGAGTGGAGATCCTCCCTCAGGGGACCCCTCTCCACAACAGGCCACCGATGCCGCATAAGACTCTGAAGACACATTCGCTTCCCACTTCACAGCTTGCAGCCCTGAGGGCGGAGCGTGTGCAAGTGCAGCGCTGAGGCACGGCTTGCCGTGAAGAGTGACCGCGCAAGTAGAAAGCAGGGCACTAGGTCGATCCCTCGCAAAGCGTGGACGATAAGTTTCACCACAGACAGTCCTCCCCCGCTGCGTGTGAATGAAATGCTGTAGCTGTAGCTGTTGGTTGGTGTTGGTGTTGTTGTTGTCGCTGCTGATGCTGCTGGCGCTGGTGCTGTTGTTGGTGGTGCTGTAGTGGTTACACCCTGACAGCTAAACTAAGGCTTCTCTGCGAAGCAGTTTGCAGGGGGGCACGGCATCAGATTCCAGACCGTGCCTAACAAAGCTATGGAATCTGATGAAAATCAAGTGCTCATCACCCTTGTGTACCTGCAATATTTTTTACTATATTTTCTGTTGCTTGGTCTTGCAGTGCCTTGTTTCCGTCGTGCAACACTTTTACTTCTTTGCAGCTTTTGCAACTGGATGGCGTGGGGCCAAGCCGAGAACCCCACTCTACAGTTTCTGATGAGTTAGTTCAGGGGCTGATTCTGTGGCTTACCTGGGACTCAGCGAAACTATGGCAGACAAGTGCAATTAGCGATACCACCAGTGCAGCTTTACCTGTTGTTGGGCCCCGCGAGGCCCGATCGGTACACCCCTGTGCGTTGTGTTGTGATCTGCACCCTGGTGTGAACGGCAAGTCGCCAAATTCAGAATGTCGTGATTCTTCCTTGATCGATTGATGTCATAAGCGGGCTAGCAGAAAGGTCTGACCTTTCGCCATGTTGTCTCGTCCAAGAAGATGCAGTCAGCAACAAACGGTGTATCCATTGTGCTACAAGCACACGGTGCCATTCAGAGCTACAGCCTCAGAGTGTTTGTGCATTTTGTCCAGTGTCGAATTGCTGGACAAATGCATGTGCTCGGTCAGTTCATATTCATGTTCATGAAGTATGCAACATGAGGACATGCGGGTTAACTTGGTTCATGTCAGCTGTCGTGTGGCTTCTAGATCATGAGTTCATGTGCTTGGTTCCACTTTTTGATCTGCACATTATGCACCGTGCTTGTTACGAGTCCTTACCTCGTGATCTGAACTTGAAATTACAGTGCCTCGCACAGTGGGGCTTTTGCTGTTGTTACACCCTGCCAGCTAAACTAAGGCTTCTCTCGAAGCAGTTTGCAGGGGGGAACTGCATCAGATTCGAGACCGTGCGTAACAAAGCTATGGAATCTGATCAAAATCAAGTGCTCATCACCCTTGTGTACCTGCAATATTGTTTGTGACGTCATGCTTGGTCTTGCTGTGCATTGGTTCCGTCCCAGCACTCTTACTTCTTTGCAGCTTTTGCAACTGGATGGCGTGGGGCCAAGCCGAGAACCCCACTCTACAGCTTTTGATGAAGCCGGCTCAGGTGCTGAATCTGTGGCTTATGTAGGACTCGGCGAAACTATGGCAGATAAGCGCAATCAGCAATACCACCAGTGGTTTTGGTTTTGGTTTCGGTGCTGGTGTTGTTGTTGTTGCTGCTAGGAGTAGTTGTTGTGGTTGTAGGCTGTAGGCTGTAGGCTGTTGGATGGTGGTTGTTGGTTGTTGGTTAATGGTTGTTGGTTAATGGCTGTTGGTTGATGGCTGTTGGTTCATGGTTCCTGGTTGTTGGTGGCTGTTGTTGGTTGTTGTTGTTGTTGTTGTTGGTTGGCAGCGTGTGTCACGCGGGGTGGTGCGATTTCTTTGCTAGCATGTGCGGAAGCTCGAGTTTCGGCACTTTGCCCACCCGGAATTGAACTTGCGTTTTGTGTTCGCATCGGTTTTTGTGGTGTTTTCGAGCAAAAAATATGCGACAGCCGGCGAGCTACACTGTACAAAAAATGCTAAGATCTCCATTTCGCATCGGTGTTCTCGGTGTTTTCCTATGTGTGTCGCATGTCGCATCGGTTTTTACGGTGCTTTTGTCGACTCCCGACGTTGTGCACATGCCAGATTGGAGTGGCATTGTCTTTCAGTGCGGGGGAGGGGGGATGGGGGGAGATGGATACAACGGGGTTGTTCCCATTAGCTTGTTTTAGCTTCCTGATTGAGCGCCTGATTCGGTGGCTTGAAAGCTGCAGACGCCCAGACTTTTTCTTCAGCATTCAGGGTCGGATCACCGCGGGCGAAACGCACCTGGCCGGCAAAAGCAGCGGATTCCAGCTGAAAGGTTTGGGGTTTAATCTTTAGGCTTCGGGCTCTCGGTTCGATTCAGTGCAGGAGCCACGCTACTCTCACCAAAGTGTTTTGTGAATCCGTCTCTGGGGTTTAGAGTTTATCAGTGTCAAGGAGCAAGGAATGAACAGGTGCTTTGCAGAAGGCAAAGACAGATGGCGTGGGCCTTTCACCAGTCAAAGGCCTGAAGTCCGAAAGGAGATCACCGGCAGCCAAATGCACCTGGCCAGCAAAAGCTGCGGATTCCCTCTGAGAGGCTTGGGGTTTAGGCTTTGGGCTCTCGCTTCGATTTGTGGGTGTCACCCTTGCGCGGTGCAGGAGCCATGCTACTCTCACCGAAAGTGTTTTGTGAACCCGTCTCTAGAATGCCACGAACAAGACACGTGCACCGTCCACCAATAATTTTCTGCCACACTGTTCAGCGTCTGCGGTCACCAACTCATTCACCAGCTTTTGCAAAAAGGACATCGCGCTCCTTTCTCCAGAGCTGGCCCTCTTCAGACTCCAACCAGTCTGCCAAGAGAGCCTTTTTAGTCGACGGTGCAGCCTTCGACTTTCGACTGAGCTTCACAGTCACCGCTGGGGGCTCCAAAACCGGCTTGTTCATCTCTGCTGTGACCGATTGCAAAACTGCAGGAGGCAGTTCAACGGGCAACGACCGACGATGGGCCTCACTTCGGGCAATCTTGAAAACACCGGGCGCCAAACGGGTCTGACCCTCCAGACGGAACTGTTCAGGCACAGCAATGCTATCGACGGCCTCACCCACGGACTGCATGCCAAACAGACCTGCCAAAAATTCGGTTTGTTAGCACCGAGAATATGGAAATCATCAAACCAAAACAGTATCTGGTGCTAAGTAAAACCCAGTGGCCGGTCTCTCTTCCAGTGTTGTCCAGGTCTCGACACAAGTCCACTATCTGTTGCAAGACTCGTGGGCCAGCTGCTCGACTCACCTTCTTACCAGATGACATCAAAAGCTTGGCGACGGTGTTGACTATGATCTCGTCACGCGGGCATCCTGACACACAGGACACCCTGGCCGCCCTTGGCTTGGAGCTCATACCCCGACAACAGAAACCCAGTTACGATAACTTTAAGCTGGGATAATACTGGCAGAAAGCTGTGATGATGATTGTGATTGTGACTATTGCCCTTCTTCTTGCTGTTTTTCTTTTATCATGTAAATTTAAACTGATACATATTTCAAACATCTGATTGCTTTTGCAACCCGCATGCTTGAGCAATGCTTGGTCCACCAGTGGTGCAGGAGACAGATTCTGGCTGTCGTGAAATGCGCCATGCAAGAGACTGCCAACGTGTTCGCAAGGAGCCTCTGGCGGGTCTATCAACCGGCAAGCATGGTGCAGTCTCACCACATGCCAGGCCACGTCGTCCGCATTGTTCGCATCGCCCAATGCGAAGAAGCTGTGCAAGTCCAGACTTCGACTCACCGCAGACACGTCCACCACGTAGTGCAAAGTCTGTACCATCACCAGCTTCCAGGAATTGGTCCTCCAGTCTCTGGTGGCAAGAACTTGTCCAGGTGCAGGTCGGGCAGGCGCACGAAGAGACTTTTTCCCTGAGGTCCGTCGTCTCTGTCCCGGCATCACCTGCTGACAACACGAGGGTAATAGACAGAAGGCCCAATTTTGATAAACAACAAGAACAAAGATTTTTACATGTTCAACCGAAGCCGATGGGCCGTCTTCAGGTCCTCCACTCTCACCAGGAATGGTCGAAAGGTCGCAGCAGGCAGCTTGTAGTTCCGAAATTCGCCCAAACACTGAGAAACCAGGGATGCCAGCAAGGACAAACGGTGTCCCGCAACTTCTTGATTGTGAAACTTCGACTGCAGCAAACGAAATATCGTCCGAAAGACCCAAAGTGGCCGAGCCACACAAGTTGTCGGAGTTGACCACGACTGGGCAGACTCCAAGACCTCTTTTGGGATGTCGGTGTTGATCAAACCCTTCTCAATTGTCCTTTGCACCCTCCTGAGACGTGCCAGTAACACCAAGTACTGGCGTCCAAGCTGCTGTTTTGTGAGCTCCCAACTCCGTGTCACCAGGTTCCACTGTTGCCTCAAACCCGTCTGTCAGGTTGATGAAAAAATCCGAAGTGAATTTGGAACCAGCTCTGTAATTATACACGGAACTAAATCAAACAAGACTGCCGTTGGTCCCAGGCTGCTGGCTGGGCCAAAAAGAAGAAAGCATACGGGGCTTCAGGATCTTGAAAAGCTGGAGGATGGCATCACCATTGCTTTGTCCTGCTCGTTGGTGGAGCAGTGTCTTCCAATCAAACGCCTCGCAGCAGGCATCTCGCAACTGCAGCATCTCGTCGCTGAGCCCCTTTGACCCCAGCGAGAGTTCCAAACTGGCCCTGAGCTCAGCCAGGAAGCTCTGCCCAGTGCTCAAAGCCTTTAGGACTTCCTCCTGCTGCTTGTACACAGCCAAGGGCACCTGACACCTTGACAGTCCACTGTCCCATTTCTTGCGAAACATGTCCTTTTCTCCAATTGGTGGCCCTGGCTCACAGACTTGATAGCGAGGGCCAACTTCATCATTCGACCGGAAGTCCGCTTTTTTTGCAAAGGCGACCCACAGAGGTATCTTCCAATCCCTCTTCAGTCGCTTGCTTCGACGATCACCTGTTGTCTTCCGCATCTCGAAAGATCGCTTGACAAGCCTGTCACCTGGCAATTCGTGTCGCGACCTCATTTGGGACGCCTCACCAAAGCATTGGCAATGTGGACCCAAGCACATGGTACCAGCTGGAAGTTCAACTTCTTGCTGCTGCAGCTGGCAGCCGTCGATGACAGGCGGGCTTGTGAGGAGAAGCCCTGGCAAGCGCCTCCAACTGAAAACCAGCGGAACACAGTCTTTTTTGCAGCTCCATGCCACAACCATTCTGCCTGCTTCTTGCTTGGTCAGATGCTGTCGCAGCAGCACCATGACCGACAGAAACCGTGCTGTAAAGTCCACAGCAGCAGACAGGCTCCCAACTTTCTGCAGAACTTCCAGCTCTGCTTTGCGAATGGCCCAGGGCTCCAGAGCTTGCTGGCTCTGAAGAGCAAGTGGACGGACACAGTTCTCGAAAACGGAGGTGAAGATTGTCAAGAAGAAGACCTCTGGGAAAGACGCAACTGTTAATTACCACCCACAAGCACCTTTCACAGCCTAAATGAGTCTAGTAAAAGATGCAGAGCCCCACACCAGAGGACAAGAACACCGTATTGCCAATGAGAACTAGTCACTAGTCGCGAAGCTGAGAGAACACAGCCGACGGCCAACGGCAGCGAGACTCGCCAAGCTTTGCTTGCCATGTCCTCGACATGATCTGCAACTCAGGTCTTAGGGTTCAGCTATTCTATCTTGGATCTACTGCATATATTGAAGCCGAGGGTCCACTCCTCTTCCAAGCCATGCGGCCATGCAGGCCCAATATGTAAAATTTCAGGTTGCTCAGCAAGTTCCCGGGCACTCCGGCCAGGTAGCCCACCTTTCTCGTGCCTCCAGCCCTTCTAGTAGTTTTTGGCTTCTCTCGAAGCAGGTCACCGATTCCTCGCAACATCGTTTTGCCTTCGTTGACACCAAAGAGAGAGTCCACGGCGGCTGCAAGATCGAAGACCTCCTCAGTCGCCGGGCAAGCCATAACACTCCGCCACACAGCATTGTCGATTCGATGAAATCTATCCCAGCTTGCCGTGGTGCTGGCCTGGGCGTGACCTTGAACTTCGTGAACGGCGTTGAAAATCTTCTCGCACGCTTGACTGCTGCTATGACGTGCCTCCCTGCCTCCACCACACAGAGCACCGTCTCCAGCGACGCACGCCAAGCGCCGTCGAAGGGAAAACAAGGAAAGGCCGCACGGGTGTCGACTGAGCCCTGACAGCGCCAGGGCTTTTATTCCTTCACCACTGTGCCCTTCCAATGGCAAAGTTGGAGCGGCGACGAAGGGAGTGTAAATTCTACCCGTCTTCGCCACCAAAGCAAGGCACATAACCAGCACAGTGTCGTGCCTGGCCATCGCCCCGTGTCCTAATGACACAGGGTCAATCATCAGCCCAATGTCCGACGGTATTCCCAGACCTGGCACCAGGTCATTCTCGATGCTGTAGCCATCCAAGGTCTCCAACACTCTCGCTCCCAAGAAAATCACCTGATTATAGAATTGTCGCGAGTGATGCTGATCACCGAAGATATCAGGCCCCACAATGCGCATCAAACTGGCCATATCTCGCTCGAATTCCAGACCGGTTTCGCCTTCATGTATGCAAAACAGTGCCCGAGCCACCAGATTGCACATGGTCTTCTCTTCACGGCTCACCACAGGCTCATCATGAGTGTTACCGCAAGCCTCGGCCTCAGCCAAAGCCACTTCCAGGCCTTCTCTGCATCGACTGGCTTTCTTCCAAGCAAATGGGGCTTGTTTCGACTTTGGCTTCCAGTCTGACTTCTTCAGCTCTTGCATCCATCGCCTGAGAGTACCAGGCGCCAAAGCCAGGAACTGGCCGGCGAGAGTAATTGCCCAATTGTTTGGACCTCGCTTGCTTCCTTTGCTTGAGAGTGTTGACCTGGGCAGGTGTTTGGAGACTTGTTTCAGCAACTCCGCTGGCACAGCAGTCAAATTTCGGACAGCATTGGCGATGAGGACGAGGCTCTGCTGTGTCAGTGGGGCAGAATTGTAATCCAAGTAAGGCCCACAGTTCTGGCCTGGCTTCCATGCCCGGCCGTCTGATGAATCTGCTCCGTCAGCAACTTCAACTTCAAGCACATCATCATCACGGTTTTCTGCTTGGCCTTGACCTTCTACTTCCAGAGCCTCAGAGTCACAGGATTCATAGTCTCCTTCATCTTCGGAAACGTCCAACTGATGAATCTCGTCCTCCGACTCCTGATCCTGACTGGCTGGCAGGCAATGCTTCGGAGCTTATGTGGTTTTTGAACAACAACACGGCAAACTGTCCATAACAACTGTTAGACAGAACTGTCCTCGCAACCGTGGCTGGCAACTAAGCTCACTTCACCATCACTGACCGGAAGGGCATCTTCAGAGGACATGATTGAAACATCCAACTCTTGCTTAATCTGCGGCTGGCTTTAGGTGTTTCACCCTAGCATCATCCGATAGCTTGGAGGTTCTGGGGCAACCCAAACAGTCGATGCAATCCTGGAGCTTTCAATCCTAAATAAAAAAACATGCCTGTTGCTTGAGCAATGGCAGCGCTGAGTATCACTGCGTCAATTTGCAATGCTACCTTACCTGCGAAGATCACTGCATGGATCCAACACAATGCCGGAGGTGCAGCATTGGCTCCGAGCACATCCCGGTGGCCCAAGTCTTGCCAGCATAACCTGGCAATGCAAAAAAAGCTTCATCACTTGCTGCTCGGAACTTCCCTTCCCTGGGCCAAAGCATGAGTCCACTCCTCTGTTGCACAAAGCACCAATTTTTGCTCCGGTCTTGAAATGCTGTCTGCAAGGACGGGCTGCACCACTTGAACAGTTTACTGTTAGCATGTCACCAAAGCACACAGTTCATGTCACCTGTGAAATCTTCTTGAAGAACCTAAGGTGCCGCATGGATTAGCCCAATGGGGTCCTACTATTTGTCAGACAGGTCCCCAACTCCGTGGCCAGGGAGAAAATTGAAAAAGTCATGTGTTGAGGATCAATGGAATTGTGACTTCGGATGATTCTTGTCATGTGTTGCAGGCCCTTTAGACTCTAGCCATGAAAAGGCACTCACAAATGCATGGTATGTACTGAGCATGTCAAGGAAGCGTCACAACTCCACGCGACGTTGCGTCGCACAACACATGGGCCATCACCGGGTCACTCAATGCAGCTGCACCCTATCCGTGCTCGGAACGGTGATTTGCTTGGCAGTGAAAACTGCAATGCCATACACCATGGCGACGGCGGTCTTGGTGTCAGCCTTGAGGATCCAGAGCACCTTCACCTGAAAGCAAGATATGTGACGGTGACTGCAAAAGTCTGAGCTTATACGCTGCCCGGCCTGTGACATCGTGTTCAAGAGTTTGATGAACTCACCTTCACCGTCGTCTTGGCAAAAGTAGCTGTAGGTGCCGCCGCCCTTCGGAACGAGCTTGGCTGGCACAGCCTCGCTGCTCCAACTCTCGTGGAATTGCAAGCCTTTGCATTTGGTCTTTTCCAGAAAGTTCCCCAAGCTCGTCACCGATGGTTTCTGAGCCATGCTTTTCCCGGAGTCGTAGTAGCTCACCATTGTCGTCGAAGAAGACGACATGCTGAACTTGAGAGAGGCAGCATCACCCATGATCTTCATCTTGCCGCTCCTGTGAGTGAACAGGAACGTATCCGCAGCCAACCTCTTGGCCGCGCCTCCTGACTCCATCAGGGCCACATAAAGGCCGCCCGCCTCACGCTCAAGCTTCACACCCTTGCCACCAACGTCCGTGGCGAGCACCTCCGCGATTGTCTTCGGTGCCGCCTGTGCACCGGCACCTGGCTTCTCATCACCTGTGTGTTCTGCTGCCGGTTTTGGCGGTTCTGCCGGCTTGGGTGCTGCTGGCTTGGGGTCTGCCGGCTTGGGGTCTGCCGGCTTGGGGTCTGCCGGCTTGGGGTCTGCCGGCTTGGGGTCTGCCGGCTTGGGCACTGGCGGCACTGGTGTCGGCTTCGTCTCACCATTTGTATTTCCAGCCGGCGCGCCCGGCTGAGGTTTTGGCTTGACCGGACTGCAATCTGATGCACTTGCGACGTCCTCTTTGACATTCTGCACAAGCCACTTGTCCAAGGTTGTCTTCAACTTCTTGGCATTGTCGGCACCGTCTTGATCACCTGCCGGCCGTTTCTTCCTGGCACCCAGATCAAAGTCTGGGCCGAAGGAGATCAAAAGCAGTTTGCCGCTCGCGACTCCTGGAGCGGCAGGGCAAGGAACACAAACCCATGCCCATACCCTTTGAACTCAAGTCAATCATGCTCAAGCAGTCCTTGTTGGTTGGGTGTGCGAACATGAACGGACACGAATGAGTCCGACGGGCCAGCTCCACTGTCCACGGTCAACTCACAGTTTGGGGCACGTTTGCCGTGAACAGAATAGTGCTGCAGATACCCGGCAGCTCCCACCAGTGCACCAAACAGTTTATTCGCCTCACCCTCGTCTGCTTTCAGGCCTGCACAACACATCAGAAGCTGACTGCATTTGCAAAACCCTCCCATACCCACGCCTTGAACTTTGATCAGGCGATCCAAAAACACCTCATCAAAGTCCTCCTGGCTCAGGAACCAGAGGAGCTTGGACTTGTCTGTGAACCACAAAGCCGAGGCTTTGAGGGCCAGGTCACCGTCCCTGTCAGTAAGACACCAGCAAAAAAAGAACAGGCTGGGCAAGAACACTTGACAGCCTTACGTGCTCGCCTCAGTGGCTTCTCCGTCCGCAAGGCTTTGCCGTGGGGGGTGCTGACGATGGACAGCCCGAAAGACTCCAATTCAGCTCCCAAAAGTTCAGCCATCTTCTCGGCCAATCCGGGCACGCTGTGGTTCACGCCGCACCTCCATTGCGAAGCCTTATGCTGGACTCACGCACAGGAAAAACCGGCAAAAGGCCGACACACATTACGATGCAAGTCACCGAATCCGGAACCGCTTCATGCCACAGCACCATTTGATCGGAATCCTGACGTTGGCATGGAAGACTGAAGAGAGGAGCATGCGCAACGACGGCAAAGGCATGTCTCAGGTCCTCTGCGTCAGCAGTCATGAACTGGAGCTCGCTGGCTGCCGGCGGCTTCTTGATTGAGATTCCTTCTGCCAACAGCGCTTTCTCTGCTTCCGGTCGTTTCAATTGAGCCAACATGCTTTCCAGGAGTAGCTCCTTGGTTGGCAAGAGTTTGCTATGACATGACATCTGACATTACTTGCTCAGTCAGGGCCAAGATAAGAAAAGCAGACGAGCTTCACCGTGCTTCTGTGAGTGAAGCCTTGTGTGGTCGAAGTATGCCATGACTTTCAACCTGCAAAGTCTTCCGGCAATGACCACTCCTGGGTGGGCTGTTCGACTCAGAACAATGAGGCGTGTCGCCGTCTCGGAGTGGCCCAAGAGCTCCAAGACACGCTTGCCTGTCAGGGCAGCCCATGAAAACCTCAATTCCATGACCAAAACTGCAAACCCTGGGCACGCTGGTCTTTGCCATGCTGTTTTTATGGAGTCGCTTTGCCTTGTTCGATCGGCCGTGTAAAAGGATACAACTCTTTCATCACCCTGCCAGGCTTGGTCGCCTTGGAGTCCTTGGAGTCACCAGCGTCATCTGGAATGGGAGCGGGATGGTCGTCGTCATCCTGGTCCTCTTCAGTAACATGACACAACTCCTCCTTGCACACCTCATCCTCATCCACGTCATTTTCAACCTTGGTTTCCGACTGGTTATCATCATCGGTCACAGGTTGCGCTGGCGGTCTGAGTTTGCAATCCGGATCCACACATCGTTGGCGCAAATATTCCCACGACCTGGCCCTCACCGAATTCACCGCCACATTTGCAGGAACACATTCGTGCTTCGCCAGGGCTTTCGTCTGCACGACAAGTCTGTAAGTTGGCAGCTGGCGGTCGCTCTGCAAAGCCCCCGCCGTGCATTGAACCATTAGAACACGGCAAGCCTTGCCGAACTCCACTGTGCAGATCCTGGGAAAACACTATACACATCATGTACATGTCAGAGTTTCACAGACACAGAGTTTGTGAGTGGGTGCATGTGAAAATGTCAATGTCGCTATCTATGCAAGTTGGTATGTATGTATGTATGTATGTAGGTATGTATGTATGTATGTGTGTCTTAAACAAAACATGCTTGCATGTGTACACCTATGCTGTAACGTAGGAAGGAATTACACAAGTATATGAGTTTCATAAGCCCGCGATAGATTTAAAAGGGACAGCCTGCTGCAAGGTCTAGAATAGACCAGACACTCGTGCACGGAAGCCAAGCAATCCAGCCGCCTGCCCAAGCAGCAAATGAGGACCCACCGATCCGAAGCACCAGCGGGGAGCACTGCCACCAGCGCTTTCACCTTCAGGATGAGATCACGGATCACAGAGACCTTGCTGGTCGTCGCCTCGACCATAAATATCAATTTCTCTGTAGTGCTGATCGACTCCTCTGGACGCTGTGGACACAATGCTGCAATTGAGAACTGATCACCAGGACACTGCTCTAGGCGCTACACCCCTCTCTCCTGGACACGTGTTGTAAAATCAGGAAAATCATCATGCACTATGTCCACATTCGCAAGGTCTTGTGTTGCCATGGCAGCAGCTCGAACTTGAATCGGATCCGGCGGATTGACAGGCGCCTTGAGCATGGGCAGGGTCATAATAAATAGCGCGGGACTCACACTCTTCACTCACATCTGCAGCCGAGGCACAACCTCATCCTCATCCATGTCGACAGCTAGCAGCTCTTCCTCTGCCGTGGCTTTATTGTCGTCACCCTCGGAGCCTTTCTTGTCCTCACCAGTCTCGGCCGAGGCGGTAGTGCCTGCACCACACACAGAAACACAATCTCCCGGTCTGTTTCTGTCTCTGCGAAAGCACATGCCTCTGGCCTGAAGTCGCATTGGATCGGTGCTCTCTGAGTTTCTGCAGCTCTTCGTAGAGGTTTCTGCACTCCAAGACACCGAGGTCGGAGCCTTTCCCGTGCAAAGGAACGCCTTTGCACTGGAGCACCTTCAAGCGGCCTCCTCCAGACAACGAGGAATAAGCAGAGAGTGCGCGATGACAAAGCAACAGCAGACCGCTCGATTCCCAAGTGCACCCCCGCACCTTCACTCTGAAGAAGCCGGATGCAGCGCTGCACGACGGGTTGCTTCACCGCTGCAGCTCCAAATTTTGACTGCAGGAATTTCACCCACTGGGCTGCTGCAAGCATCGGCTTGCAATACTCAGAGACGAACGTGTTCACGCTCACCGCTCTTCTCTTGCACAACGTCTCGTTGAGGAAGGAGATCGAGTGCCCAGAAGGCCCACTCCTGTCGGGTTAATGTGGGGGCCTGAATAATTAGAATAGGGTTTTGGGCCATTATAC